CAGTGCACTTTGGAGAATGGTGAGTATCTTTTGATGTGATATATGTACTCAAAAATAATAAATAAATATATATATATATAATACTAAGCTTTATTAATGCAGTATATTTCAAAACACAGAAACAACAAGCTGTAGGGGAAGAAAGCTGACACTTAAAAAAAGTGGAAAAACTCAAGCCAAGTGTTTGAAAAGAGAAATAAAATTGTATAAACACAAGGGGCGCCGGTGGCCTAGTGGTTGGTGCGTGCACCCAAGTACAGGGGGCTAGAGTCCTAGAGTCCCTCTGGCTCCTTTCCCGCATGTCATTCCCCACTTTCTCTCTCCCTGGTATCTAAAATAAAGGCATAAAAAGCCCCAAAAATTCCTTAAAAAAGGGATAAATAACTTGTTTAATGTTTATGGACAAACAACTCGAATGACCAAAAAGCTCCTCCAAAAAGTGGGTTTTTAAAAATGGTGCAGTTTGCAGCTCTAGTGTATTCACACAAGTGATCCAGATTCTTGGAGCTTAAGAAGTTAGACCAACTCATGAGTGTTTGCAATGATGTAAAGATGCAGTATATACAAAGGAAAATATAGGTTTTTTTTGTTGTTGCAATAACCTTTTTTTTAATAAATACATTTTTACATTCAGTTGACAAACCTGAATAAATGTTGTATTTAAATTTTTTTGTATTTAATTTTTTTTTTTTTTTTTTTTTTAAACCAGTAGGAATGTCAAGTTAAATCCTTGATGTATACATTTCTTCCTATTCTTATTTTTTATATTCTAAGTGCTTATTTATTTATCTATTCTTATATTGTTTTATTTGCTTTGATAACATGCTGCTGTAACTCCACAATTTCCCAGTTTGGCATCAATAAAGTAATTCTATTCTATTCTATTCTAATAAAGTCATTAAGTTGTAAATGTGTGATGGATTCATCCTGGTGTTGCAACTCCTACGTCAATGGGCTATTCCTATTGGGGAGTAATAAATCAGTGGCCAGAAGCGTGGAAAACCTAACCATTGGATACTCGGTGTGAGTGACAAAACAGGTGTTGTTCAAAACAGGAAGTGAGAGTGTTAGTAAGATCCACCAGGGGGAGCAAAACCACAATGATATGCAAATATATTTAAGATCATGTATTTGTGTATTGTTCCGTTCTGGACCTCTGCAGACCTCAGTGCTCAATGTTCAATCATTTGTTTAATTATTCAATAAATATCCTTTGCAACAGAGAAGCTCGTCTCTGTGAAATCATTTAAGATACCACAGTAACCTGTTTGTGTCGCAGGAATAACCGACCTCGGATTACCAAAGACGTTGTGTGTTTCCAAGCTGGGGATTTCAATGAAGTTGTCCAGATGCTGCAGCTGGATCTGTATGAGCCTCCCGTGTCTCAGGTGACAACTGGAATTCACTCCTAATCCCGGAAGATGTGTGATTCCAGGTTTTTTCACTGATAACGATACTTATCTAACTAGACCTAACTTGTGAGTATCTGTCTCATGCAGTGTGTCCAGTGGGTCGATGATGCCAAACTCAACCAGCTGAGGCGGGAAGGGATCCGCTACGTGCGGTCCAGCTCTGTGACGACGACATCTACTTCATACCGAGGAACGTTATCCACCAGTTTAAGACGGTGTCTGCGGTCTGCAGCCTGGCCTGGCACATCCGCCTCAAACAGTACCACCCAAAGGAGAACGACAAGGAGGAGGAGCAGCGGCCCAGTGACCTCAGCCCCACCTCGGGCCGAGTCTCTTTTTCTTCCCCCGCCAGGCCCGATGCTACGGTAACCCCGTGTGCACGACAGCAGGGAGGAAACATCAGAGGAGGGGTGGCTAAAACTGAAGAACCCGAGTTCCAGAGGCCTGCAACACCTCCAAAGGAGCCTCAGCCAGCCCCTCCACAGCCAACCAAATCTGCTCACCTGCCTCGAACATACCAGAGTCCTCACCTTTCTTTGGAACCAATGCACTCTGGTTGTACGCCATCAAGAGAGGCCTCTCTTCCTAATCTCAGCCACACTGCCGAGTTCCCGAAATGACTTTAATACACGACCCGATATCTCTCTTTCTGTTGGAGGAGTGGATGTGAAGGATGTGACTGACCCAGATTCAGTCAGAAAAGCTTTTCAACTTAAATTATTCTACACACGTTTTTAAATCTTTAAATGCTGACTGGAATGTCCCAAGAGTTTTTTTTTTAGCAAATATATACTTGGCTTTAATGTACAACTTTTTTTTAATAGCACCTTAAAGGCTTTATATGTGATTTTTCACACTTAGATATAATAGAAATCAAGTATATTCTCTGAAAATAACTCTGTGAGTCATGACTGTCTACAATGGGTGTAACACCCGAGTCTCACTGTCTGTGATGTTTTCAGAGTTTTCAGAGTCCTATCTTCAGTTTGTTTACATCGTCGGGACGGCCGGCCGATTCCTCCCCTCACATATAAAAGTTGTTTGATTGAGGGACTAGAGAAAAGAAGAATAACATACTGTACTCACTGCTTAACTGTGTTTCTAGATCACGCTCATTTCAGGTAAATTTACATGCAGTGTGAAGATACGAGCACAATAAAGATCGCTAGCATTGGCATGCTAACACAACAATGCAGCGCGAGTTGTTTTGGTTTCATGCTGGTGCTCAAGGGCGACATCTGCTGGATCAAAAAATCACATATAAAGCCTTTAACTGGAACTGTCATTGGTATCATTCAGATGGTGTGTATCATGGTTTGTGTCATGTAACAAAGAAACTCATATTTCTGACAAAACAAGTTGCCACTCTTACAAGAAGAGAACATTTTTATTTATTTTCAACGCTCACAGCTGTTGGACTTGTTTGATGAGATGATGAAAGATAAACTTGCAGAATGATAGTCCACATGGTTGATATATGGTATACTCTGACATTTTACTGTTTTATTTATTTCATTGAAAGAAGCCTCTCGACTAACTGTTCTACTGACTGTACATAAAGATGGACGGTGTGTCTCCACCTTCTGTTGTACAGAAATAAAGCCAAAATACCCCCACGTGACAGGAGCTGACATGTTGGCCTGGTGACGTCATTTGGAGACAGTAAGGGATGTGGATCATCAGTCTTATTGATATTCATACCATTATCAAGTTCCTTAATAAACCAGGTCTTTAGCAATACCACTGTCAATACTTTTCTATTATTTGGTGTAAAGACAAGACCAGCAGGATGTTTTAGAGCTCTTTAGTCCTAAAAGAAAACAAACACATGTTCCCTCCAAAAAACTTAATCATTCAAGTTTCTTGCCAAAACCTAAATTTCCTTCTTTAAGGGGATTTTCAGGTTTTGATAAATGCAGATCCCAGTCCGCAATAGAACCAGGTTTCGATCCCCACCTCTAGCCAGAGTTGCACAGTAGAGGCTCTTCCTTGGTATTGACGGACCGCCCCATCCACTACCCAAAACACACATTGAGCTTATCTATACCTAGCAACAAAGATCCCTCAGTCCACAAGCAGAACAGATTCTTGTGTTGGTTTGAAGCAGACTCAGGGTGATTGACTCTGGTGTTTATGTTTTATATGTTTCCTCTCGCTGATCCTCCTCTACTCTGGTAATCCGATACACAAAGCGTCTTAGAAGCTGCATTCATCAACAGAGCTGTCAATCAAATCATTTTACACCTATTTATAGTATCATGTACCTATAAAGAAACTTCTTAAAGAATGAAATGTAAAGACAGATACTGTGTATGAAGTGCATTTAGATTTTCTAGTTTGACAACATGTCCCATCTGTTGACATGCCAAAGGAGGGTTTATGACCTATACTGCAGCCAGTCAGTAGGGGGAGCTCCAAAGGTTTTAGTGAGCTTTCATGTCATCCATTGTTTTAAACAGTCGATGAAACAAACCAGGAAGATGCCGATTGTAATCTTGCCAATGTCTTTGTCCCTTCAGTCAAATACTCGTTGAAGTTTTTATAGGAAAAAGATGCATTTTACTTGAGTTTGAGACTTAGGATCATGTAATCATCTTAATCAACATCCTATTAAAAACTTTATATGGTTCAGTTTGTGCAATTCTTTATTGTAAAGTGCCATTTTTTTTACTGTTGTATCTTTTTTGATATTTGATTTATTTTCTTAAGATTGAGCTGAATTTATGAACACAGGTTTTCACAACCAGACATGAATATTTCAAGTTATTATTGCAGCTGTTGTAATAATTGTCTGGATCTTTTTCATCAGGTTTTGGAGAACGTCTTCAGAACTTGGTATGTAAATAGTTTGGGTGTTTTTGTCTCTGGGGACATGTGAACGCTGACAGCACACTCAAACCACACGTTTGTGTCCTTATGTTTTTAGCTGTGAATGTCACGGTGCAGTAAAGATCCGCTGTCGAAGCTACAGTATTTAAAATCCTTTTTCTCTAACCTGAGCACTCCCTTACAGTACAATCCTCAGCAGAACAGATTATTGTGTCCGTTTAAAGCAAAATCTAATGAATCTTGTGTTATTTTTTGTTGATGTTTCTATTCGTTGTTCCTCCTCGACTGCTAACCCGGTGCACACAGAGTTGCTGGAGCCACATTAGCCAATAGATACACCTCCAACCCCCTCTCCACTCGCATTCGCACGAAGAAGTTATGAATTAGAACGCACCATTAAGAGTAAACGGCGGACAAAATCGTCCTTTACTCGACCTGCAATCACCTGTGTCCTATTTGTTGTGTTAGCATGCTAATGTTAGCACACTTTGGTTAGCTCGTAGCTTTATATTGCACATAAATTAACACAGAATGGCCGTGAGCTAAAGACACTTATTTACGTGACATCCAAACAGGCAGTGAGTGGAGAATGTGATTCTTCTTTTCTCTAGTCCTTGACTCAAACAGCTTTATACCCAAGGCCGTCCCGTCCATGTAAACACGATGTAAACACAGCTCCAACAACTCGACAGTTGGCGGGACTCATACTTCTGACTCATTGTAGACAGACAGAGAGACATTAACACAGGATATAGTTGATTTCCACTGTATATATGTGTAAAATGTCACACAGTCTTCCTTTAAATGGATATTTAGATGATAACACAGTCAATATTCTTAAAGTTTTGTGAAGCAGAAAAACATTGAGATATGAGATAATAGAATTTCAATACTTTTCTTTTATAAATAATCTTGTCCATAACAAGGATATGTAGCATGGTTTAACTTTTCATCATATGCATTTTCAATATGCATCACATTCTTGGTACCTTTAGATTTCATTTTAGATGACTCTTTTGATATATGACGCTGATAAAAGCTTATGGATTTGAGATATAAGCATAGAAAACTGCTCACAGTACATGGAAAAACATTCTTTTGTCTCTCTAACAAAAAAAAAAGAAGTCCTGCTGAACAAGATGTACCCTTTTTTCTTAAATCCAAACACACATACACAAAAATATTTTCTCACACTTCAAAGCATATAATTTCGGAATTCTTTGGTCGAACGTCCAACTCATCAGACCAAGAAACTGTCTTGTTTGTTCTTCAACAAGGCACGGATCAAGCAATCAATCAATAATTAAAATCAACCTCTGCTGATATTCAGTACAAAAAAAAAAGTATCAGAGCTGGTCTCAAGGCACTCTCTCTTCTCTGCTGAAGGTGCTATTGTGCTGTGCAATACACCGAGAAGCGGCCTCATGTGGTCTTCACACAGTATCTCCATGAGGTACTTGTGAAAAACGTCCAACTGTCCCAAGTCTTCTAAATAGCTGATGTATTATCATGATTACCATCAGCTCCGTCTTCATGTTTCATGTTTAGCAACGCCTGATCGCCTCACACCCACGTCTCTGGATAACTCCTGGGTCCCTTTGGCTTTCCAAAACGGGTCCCAAACCCTGTGAAATATGCAGAGACACACAAAGTTTTACTACACAATGCTGAGTGCTATACAGTATTGATGCAAGATTGAAGTAGAGGCGCGCCTACCAAATCTGAACAGTGAGGATGAGGCACTATATGATGGAGTTGGAGTTCCAGTTTGAGTGGGCGGTGGGGGAGGTGTAGTTTTAGCTGAGAACATGTGAAAGTTTTTCGCACATTAGTACTACTTTCGTTTCGAACATTTTATTTTTATTGAGCCAAAAAAAAAAAAAAATGCATAACTCACGTTTTTGTTTGTTTCTGAAAAACTTCAAACTCTAGAGAAAAGTGAGAAAAACAGAGAATAAATGGACGGCTTTTATGTTTAGTCTTGACACTATTCATTTATTGAGTGCAGCGTGTGTGTGTTACCCTCGACCGAGTCATGCCCTTCTCATTGCTTTTGTCTGCTTTGCTTCCTGATGCTTCACTGTTCAACGAACCTTTGCGGTGCACTTCATGCTCCACTTGTGCTAATGAACAAAATAACAGAAAGGAAGTGAAGCTAATAGCTACGTTTGAAGGTGACAATTTTCCTCTCGTGCATAACAAATCAAGGCTCAGTGAGAAATATATTTAATAACCCATGTAGTATTGAGTCTTATCTGAAATAGCCACAGCCTTTGTGTAATGCAATCTTTTCTTGAACAGACGTTCATTTAATAAGAATACTTTTGTGTTAAGGTGTAAGAGCACGAGTGAAAGAGGCCACTGTGTTTGTGAAGCCACTTTAATGTCTGAATCAACTCACCACTTCCTGTCTCCGCTCTGACCACAGTGGGTGGAGTGAGCTGCTGAACTGCAGTGAGGGGCTCTGCAATAAAACACACAATGATCAAATCACCCCGACAAACACCTTATCATGTGTATACACCCTGAACAACACAATTAAAAACCTTTTTAATTTTACCAATCAAATTCTCATTTTCATTCCCTTGTTTGCTAAAGGGTGCCTCCCAGTGGTCAGAAGTGGTAGTTTAAATAATGTCTCAACTTGCATAGTGTTGTGCAGTATGTAGTCAACAAACTAAACAACTCAACATTTCAAAATGAAGACAATCAGAGTCTGCAGACAACATTTGGTGAAAATGTCTAGATTAAAAAGGACTTTAAAAAACAACAACCGAGGATACTCATCTTTTATGTCAGTGTATTTTAATCCTTTATTAGAATTTATCAGGGTAATATTGCAAAAACAAAAATCTATGTTCTTAAACTGTTTCAAAAGTTTTCAAGGCCTCAGTCAGAATGGAAAAGCTCGAGCACTTTGCAACAGGCAGGCGCATAAAGAGAAGAGCTGACGTGTGGATGGTTTGGGTGTTTTGATGGTGTATTTACAACCTTATCTGTAACTGGCAGGTCACGTAAAATGAAAGCTGAAGTGGAAGAAGTCTCCACATATGAGATAAAAGTGCTTACCTTGTTTTGAACCTTTAGCTCGAACACTCTGGGGAGAAAATTCAGCAGAAGGAGTTTAAATGTTACTGAAATAAATTATGTTTATTCTTGAATGTGAAAGTAGTGAGGGAAGTGAAGCTGCAACAATTAGTCCCTGAAATGATAAATCAATTTAAATAAACTTAAAAGCCAGCTATTTTAACAGCTGCATGCATTATTATTTCAGTTCAATGTAAGTCTTGTGTTGTCATTTATAATCAAAATGAAAAGTCTTTGTGTTTTAGAAAGTTGTTTTGGCTCTGGGAAATTGTTAAATATTTTTTTTTTAAATCCATTCAACAGAAGTAATTATAATATTATTTAACATCATAATAAAAAAACAAATTTCTTGCAAAAATATCCAACCATGCATGTGTTTTTTGTGTGTGTCAGTTTTCAGGACAGTCCCCTGAAACTAGCAGTTGGAGTGTTGTTACCTTGCTCCTACTCATGACAGCATCAAGGAACCTCCTGGGCTGAGAGGGGCTGCTTCGATCAGATGATGAGCTGACCCTTGCTGAGGGAGGAGTTGTTTCCAAGTGCTGCGGGCTGAGAGCGGGTATCTCCTGAACTGCTGGGTAAGAAAATAGCACTGAACTCAAAAGCACTGCTGCGGGAGCTAAATTGTTGTCTTAGGGCTGTTGTCTATTACTTGGGAATAGGACACTGCCACTCACCGTCTCCTGCGTTAAGGATGAAGGACTCCGGGGTACGGTCAGGAAGGGGAGGAGTCAGGCACTCCTCAGCTGCGTAATCAATAAACAAAAAAATCACATATTGTATGTATCAGGGGTCTGTTATCTTGTATATTTGGATACATTTTAAAATGTTTGTGTCCCTTTGGGTTGCTAGTCTCATGGCAAAATAAAAACAAAACTATAATCGTTAACAATCGGTAGAGCTTACTTTGATGAGGCAGTGAGGGAGGTATGGGGTCCGGAGGTGGGCAGTACGCCTGGAGGTTCATTGGTTTTGATGCAAGATCAGGATGTGTTACTGGAACTACTGACGACAGAAGAATATACAATAATAATTTTTTTCCAAACATATAGCATTACACAATGACATGAAAGTGATATCCAATGTGTATACCTAGATAGGTTGATATAGGCACATATCAAATGTATTATTCATAACTACAATACCATAAAGGATTAAATTCTTAATTATGAAGCAGTGCACGTATATATTTGTTCTACATGTTGTGTTATGATAAATATCCTACCTGGGAAGGTCATTTTTGCTCGGAGACTCTGCAAGAAAGAAAATCTGTTACAGCACTGTCATATTATTTCTGTTGTCCACAGCGTGATATGAGATTAAAGCAGAGGATCAGTTTGAGTGTAAATAGCAGATTAGTAAAAGAAGCCTTAATCTTATTTAATCTTCAGATTTTAAATTCAAAGCGTGTGTGACATCATGTTTCATAAGCCAGAGGCAACAGTCAAACCAAGGCTTCCTTCAATACGGCCAAAATTTCTGTGAAAATATTTCTCAGCATTCAATGTGTCTTTTTCAGATCTTTACGCAAACTAACTTACAGGAAGTAAAACCTCGCCCAAAGGAAGGGCCTTCTTCTCACCTTACTCCTCATCCAAGATTTGGTTTCACTCTGATGTGCAGTGGTAGCTTGTTTTGAGTTTCCAGACCATTCTGAAGACATCCCTATCCTGTTCAGGTTCGGCTTTATCTCTAACCTCTGCTCCACAGGAGCTGAAATGAAATGAGAATGATCAATTTAGACTCTTTCTATTCAAGTAAAATCCACTGCTCACAGTGACTTGTAAAATATTACATTACCTTGGTCGATAGCAAGCTCAAACGATTCTGGGGTTCTCTCTGGGAGTGAGGGGACAGGTGAGGGGGGGCTACCTGGGAATATGAACATATCATAGTTTGGATTTTGCATACTGTACACTGTCAACATTTAAACATTAGAAAATTCACACCTACTTTGCCAAAATGATTGAATGCATTTAACATAATAATACATTATATTGATATGCAATAATGATAATCGTCGGTTTACATCTAGGGCGCCAAGACATTTTACCATCATGCTACAACGCATTATTTAAAAGTTTCAGATATTTCTGCCTTTATTTACTCACCTCCTAACTCCCTGACAGCCTCAGCAGCAGCATTGGGTGGAATGATTACCATTAACCTCTCGCAGGGATCTGGGTGCTCTAGACAATAAAAATGAAATAATGTTCATATCCTGTTAGAAAGACTAACTGTAGCTAGAAACTGTGTGTGTTTTCTTCATTGCATGAAGTATAACTGGATGATGATGATCAGGAAGACATTCAAACTGTGACCATTATCCTCTCACATCTTGCTCCAGGTGGGAGGCTAAAATTAACGAAAGTCAAGAAGTGGATGAAGGCTAAAGTTTGGTACACAAAATAATAGGAAAAGTGTAAATTATAGCTAGATGCAATGTTAGCTAACTCAAAGTAAGCTAATGTAAAGTAAGCTAACATAATGTTAACTAGGACTGTACGGTAGATTACTTTCTATTTAACTTGACTTTAGCTTGGACCAAGAGGCAACCTCAGGTGCTGAAAAGAGAAGCCAATGAGGAAGTGCAAAAAACTGTTTTTCTTGAGGCTTGCTGCACAAGCCAAGAAATCCTGTTAGGACCCATGTTATGTGCCCATTTTAACTCCAATAACAAACGGTTTCTTTATTCCTAAAGACTGTGTGGGGGTATTTTTTTATAACGCATCCACTTTGTTTATATTAAAACTAAGAGTTATGCATAAGTTAGCATAATGAGGGCCATGGCTAGTTTGACCTACAGGTGGGCATTGTAGATGTTGGTCTGGAAGCATGAGACCTGCATCAGCTCAAGTCAGGTGGATATAGCATTTCTTTTATGGCGACCACCTTCATTTGGCTTCAGATCTCCTCTTCAGAAACCAGTGGGTAACATCACACTAACTCAATTTCCATGTTTTTTACAGTCTATAGCTAGGAGGTGGTTGAATTCTAGCATTAGCTGTTATCTGGTGGAAGCTAATAGTTTATCAAATATGTTACTGTACTTAAAAAAAATGGCCAGATATAGGCCTATGCTACCAAATTATTTGTAAATAATACAGTATAGGCCTGGTATCAGATGTTGTACTCGACTTACAATGTAGATTAATCATTTAAACAGCATTAGAGTTCCGTGCTATTTACATGACATCAGAGGAAAATGGTCATCATGTGAAAATAGTGAATCAACAAATTCAAGAAATCCAAAATCTTCAAAATAAGCCTCTTATAAGCTAATAATCTAAATTCTACACTTTTTAAAGTAAGTAAGTTTTTGGGCGTTTCTGCCTTTATTGGATAGGACAGCTGAAAACAGACATTATTGGGATATTGGGAGGAGAGAGTCAGGGATGACAGCAATGGGTCAGGTAGGATTTTAACCCATGGCGGCTGTGGTGAGGACTTCTGCCTTCGTACATTGGGCACTCGACATGACCGCTAGGCTACTGGCGCCCTTAAAGTCTACACTTCTATCGATACTGAAAACACCAACCTGTGTCAATGGCCAGTACGTAGGAATCAGGGGTTCGTTGAGGTAGGGGAGGCGGTGCTTCCTCATTTGTATGAACTTCAACAGTACCTACAAAATTTGAATCACTTTATATAAATATCTCCCAAATTAAACACTGCCACTCCCCTACAGATTAAAATACATGACTGTTTACCTGAAGCATGAGAGATGAGCTCCATAGTCTGGTCATTAAGACGCAATGAAGGTGTGCTGAGGACAGAGGTTTCTGTCCAATCTTTGGTATGGTCTTTAGAGACCAATGGTGGCTCTTCTGATGAGAGGGAGCTCAGAGCAGTATCAAAGTAGGGGTCCTCAACCATCAGACACATGGCTTCTGCCACAGCAGGTGAAGTTTGAATGTTTAGTAACGGTATGTCATCACTGTCTTCAAGTGAGGTACTTGGTCTCTCCTGCAGATCCTTGGTTGTGGCGAGAATTTCTGGAAGGTGTTGAAGTAGATCTAATTGCTGCTGGTCCCCCCGTGTATCCTGGGTTCTTAATGCATTGAGATTTTCTGGATTGGAGGGTAAAAGAGTGTTGTGCTTTGGTAGAATATCCCTTTCTTCATCAAGCTGGAATTGTGGTCGCAAATCCAAATCCTCACTCAGGTCAGAGGGCTCGCTTTCAGTGTCAGGTGTGATAGTGGATGGGACCATAGTCACCTGGGAAGGTGAACAGGAGAGTGAAAGTCATACACGTTTTTGTTAAATCATTAGATAAATGTACTTATAAATGTTTTTTCTTGCAAATGTGGTGTGTGCAATTGTGTCCTAGCCATGACTGTTATTACAAAAGAGTTGTAGTAGCAGACCAAAGATACACTACAGTTGTAAATGCAATATGCTGCATGGTGTCAAAGTTGAGAGTGTCATTAAGTATCCAACAAAAAAAATGGAGTCAAAATATCAAATAACTATCAAATAGAAATCTAGATTACCAAATAGCTGATTTTGCTGTTTTCATTACTTCTAAAGACTGTGTAAGCATTGCTGGTCACACTTTAATTGATTGCTGCCTCGCTACACACTCAGCAAGAGACATCAACATAGTCCTGCCTTAAGCAAGAGCCCTTTTTGTGTCAGTTGAGTCAGAATCAGAGAAATTTGCAGAAGCTCTGCCATCTGCAAATATTACTTTCAGTAGATCACTAGATGGTGAGTTGCAAAGTGCTTTGATACCCACTACTCAGTAATTAGAATGCAGATACAATGTTAGCTGAGGTGCCCCTATCTGTTCTCAAAGCTTTAAGTGCTATGCTAAATTGGTTAGTTATATTTCAGTATGAAGCTTAACTCCAGTTACGGAAACTGTGAACTTCTGCTGCCAAAAGATAGACAACAGTGGTGACACCTCAATCCCTACAGCCATTAAAACTTGACCCACGGACTCGTCTGAGTTTGGTCTAAACTGCTAAAAGCTAACTGTTCGATTAGATAACTTTTTAGATGCTTACTAATGCACATAATACCCTAAATGATGTAGTTAGATGGTTAATGTTTGGGTTTCCAGTGGCTTTAACTGTTAGTTAAATTTTGAGTTTAGCTTCAAGTAGTGCTGTAGCCTTATTGATACAACCTACATGGTGCGGTTTTGAATCACCCAGTTGCTATTTGATTATGTTCCACGCAGTTCATGTGACTGCCTTCGATGTCATTGTCACTGAAACCACAAGAAGGTTTCACAGTTGGTGTTTTCTGCTCTGTTGATGGTAGTGGTTGTCGCAAGTGGCAAGTACTATACATTTCCATTGCCTGTGTGTATATGGCTCAGACCCCGGTTTCATGTTTTCAGACAACTTACCTCATTTCTTTGGGTCTGTGCATCCATGGACTCCAGATATCTCTCAAACAGTAACCGGATGGTTCTGTAGACCAGCTCATATTGTTCCTGAGAGTAAACAACAAAAACCTGCTCTGTTAGTCGCCATAGCCAACGGGCATGATGCACAAAACACAAATCATCAAAAGATCCTTGATAGAAGGAGACCGAAATGTGGTTCTGCTCGTTGGAAGATTTGTTACAGTACATTTAATGCTTTGTTAAATCAAAAACAGTTACCTTGGTTTGAACCAGCGAGTGTCTCTGGGTTCTCATGTTTTGAACCAAGTCATAGATACTGAAGTCTGGAGTGATCATCTAAAATCAAGCACACATGTCAATACAGCTTAAACTTAAATTGATTCGTCCTAAAATAGATAATGTGCTGAGAGAACTTGGGCAGGAATATCTGACCTCTTTCTTCAGCAGGTTCCAAGTATAATCTATGACACACAGGGCTCCTGTTCTGCCACAGCCGGCACTGAAAATGAGAGATAATTCAACATGATGCTAATAATGCTAAATGTAATTAAAAGCAAGGGCAGGATGAAAAAAATAATAAGTGAAGCTTTTAATGTCCAGTTTGTATCACACTATCAGACAGGAAATGGCTGTTCCAGCCACAGCAGGAGTTATACCATAAAAAAAGTTGTTTTTGACATCATAATAAAGTAAACATTTGAAGTAAAGGGATTTTACAACGTTTTTTCCCCCCAACAGCTGTCTACTGTTGACATAACTCATAATTTGAGTCTGTTGTGAAGGCTGCTTTGCCACCGACTCAACATTCCTTCTGTGACACATCCTTCTCGAAAATGACACGAGCGTGTCATGGCAGGTTTTTGATAACATTTTGCCATTAAGTTTGAATAGTTGCTTAACTTATACAGCAAAGAAAGTTAGTCATAAAAACATCTACACATTGTCAGGTCACACATATTTAAAAAAAACGATAAGAAAAATCAGAAGCAAATGTATTTTAAAGCGCCAGTGATACATTCTCAACTGGTTTTGAAACAGACTGAAATCAATAATAATTAATACAGATGCCTCTTTGTGACCTCTGAAAGCAAACAAGACCGTCTTAGTCTAGATGGATCATTTCATACAGTAATTTGTAATGCTTGTAGTCATTGCCACCGGGTAAGTGTCTGCCTTTGTTCACATTTTCCACTGGAAATACTCACAGTGAGTGATTTGTTTGACTGTTACAAGACAGAAGTAGGAGTTTTTTGTTTTTTTTACAGGAAACACCACTTACACACACATGTAAGGACAGGATTACCAAAGAGATATGAGGAACTGCTTTGTCCACAAAGGGTGCCAAAATCAATACATCAAAAGTTCCTCTTAGGAGCTTTAGTGAACTTCCATCCATCCTTTATCTACAGTATACCGTTTTTCCATTCGCGTTTTCGAGTCGTGCGCATGGGGGTGGTGGGGGGGGGTGGTGGGAGACTGGTTACCAGGGCAAATTAGAGTCTCCAATTATATGACCTTTATTTAAATAGGGGAAACCAATTGAGAGCAGAACTCTCTTTTGCAATGGTGCCAATTGACCTTACAAGCATGTCTTTGGACGGTAGGAGTAAGCTGGAGTACCCAGAGAGAATCCATGCATGCACGGGGAACAGTCTTAATGCATTATTTATTTTTGGAAAGTTTTTATTTATATCTTACAAAAAAAGATAAAAGTGCTTGCCAAAAAAAAAAAACAACCACCAATAGAAAATGAAACTAAATGTCTTAAAATAGAAAATAGAAAATAGAAATATCTAATAGTATTGTTTTGCAATGATTCACAGAGAGAGAGATAAAAGGCCCAACAAGCCATCTGAGCTGAGTTGAACTAGGTATCATTATCAGTAAAAAAAAGTAGATGTACGTTATGAGCCACAGAATAGATGGAGAAAAAAAGAGAGGAAAAGCCCACATGTAGACTTAAATTTAGACGGTCTTTCGCCACCCAACCACATGCACTTCCTGTCTCTAAAAAGAGTGGAGGTGCCTTACTCTAAAGCCTTGGGTGGGGGACATATACATGCCTGCATGCAATACATTCTCATGGTTTTTATAGTAGTAAAAATGATAAGCTTTACTTATTAATTATAGTAGTTTTAAGTTTTACTTATATCCTTGAGGTATCCTGTTCTTAAGATCTAGTTTAAAGTGCTTCACATTTATTTAAGAGGTTTTCTGCTTTTATTGACACAAGGTTTCCACTAGTCATGTGCAGGCTGTTCCACAAATTTAAGTTCTTGAAAAGAAACTACCGCCTTTTTGTAATTGTTATTAATAAAGAGATTTACCGGTATAATGAGTGATTAACCATTGAAGGAGAATAACAGATTCTGTAGATAATGGGAGCAGTGAAAACAAGCTGCTGTGATTGTGACTTATTTTTGTTAAGAGATTTGGCAGCTGCAGTCAGTTCACTTATTAATTCGGCAAGTTCAGAAAAGAGACCACTGCAAGAGTGGTGATTGCAAAAGTTGTCCTTTTTTGCTTCAGAAAGGGAATGATTTGGTTGGCTTTTGCCAGATTTCTAAGGTTGAAAAACATAGCCTTTGTGCCTTTTCACACAGTTATTTCTCAATAAATAACTCTTGGGCAAAGATTTATTTACTCAAAAGACTGTCTTCCTTGATTCAGCCCCAAAAACTTTTGTTGTCACATTTTCTAATCTTAGTTCAAATAGATAATACGGTGTCAAAATTGTTGAACAGATAAATACAATTGTATGTCATGTGCATAAATCTACACACTATGTGTATACATAGTTTGGACAAGTGGAAGCATTTGCAGGAAAAAAAAAGTGGACCAAGTATGGAGCCTTGTGGAACACCATATATAATGTGGTGTGTATTTAAATGTGTTTACCAACGTTGACAAAATATAAATTCAACCCAAATTAGTTCCACAAGAGTTTAATTTGCCACTTACAGGTTTTACAATCTAATAGTACAGTGGGATTAATTGTAACTTCTAAGACAGAAGCATCATCCACATTTGCACTTTCTGTCAGGATGTTTAAAATCATTCCAAAGGCGTTTTCTATGCTATAACCAGTCCGGTTTTTCCAAATGATATTTGTCAGTAATATAATGGTTACTAAGAAGTATTGAATCGTTTATATGCTGCTAACGGCCTAAAATGATTCATAATGGATTAATTGATTACGATTGTTTTTCTTAAAGAGATTTATATAAAGTTTAGTCCCATAAGGACGCCTGACCTGCAGTGGATGCAGATGGGGACATCATCATGTGGTTGCTCTGTACGCATCTCATACAACATGTCCAGGATGGGAGGAATGGAGTCCGGTACGCCATGATCGGGCCAGTTGACGTAGTGCAGCTGTTTCAAAGTTCGGCTAGACTGCAGAAAATTAGTATATGTCAATACAACATTTCTGAAGTATCTTTAAAATGACCACAATAGTTTTACATTTTAAAAGATGGCCCTGGTCTTTGCCTCAAATAACATGTTAGATGAAAATCTCTGGCTTGTCTAAGCAGAATTACACCCTCAGTTGTCTGCACAGTCAGGGTATAAACACTACTTACATTGCAATGAGTCAGCCGTAATGTCCTTGTCAGATAATCTCCTTTAGGTTCCTCAGAATCCTGTAAAAAAAAAAGTGGTAAACTATTATTTATGTTTACTGTTGAAGGCAATATGTCGTGAGTTTTATTAGTTTTGCTTTAATAGAAGTATGAAAAAGGACTGTTTCAGACAGGTGCAGAGTGAAGAAAGTGGATGTTGTGTTAGCCTATGCCAGTTCAAGAAACTTGTCAAAGTACAAAGTGTGATAATGGTAATGAAAATACTCACACAGTAAACTGTAAAGGGTTCACACACGAACGGCTGCTCTTGTTTCTCTGGCCAGTACCGCTCACACTTTTTCTACAGAAACATTAAAAGGCATAACATAAAATCCTCACATAAGGACTAAGTGCTTTGTGTAGCTGAAGGTAAACAGATAAACAGGGAAGTGCAGGGATGATGAGGAACACAGTTTTTAGCCACTGAGAAAAGAAGTGAAAATGTAGGGAAAATGGTGTTACCTTTCCCATCTCAAATTCTCGGCAGGCCATCACTACAACCTAGTGCCAGATAATAAACAACATAGAAATGAACATATTTTAAAAGGTGGCAAGGGAGGTCAAAGATCACTTTATGTAGCAAGACAGCTCCTTTCGATATCTACACCATCAAAGCATTTTGTGTTACCTTTGTCTTGTACTCCCAAAGCATCCTCAAGAAGTCCAGGACTGAGTGAGGCAGGGGGCCCTGAGTCGCGATGTAGGCCCTAGAGCCAGACACTCCCTGAAGATAGAGCACAGCTTAGAGTCAAGAGTACGAGGATTTCAGTTAAATTTACATCACCCACATTAGTCACAGGAAGGTACAAAAAACAGAAAATGCAGTACATTTATGAAAACTTATTGTTGTCATTTACCTTGATGAAACTGGCGTTGATGTAGTCGGTGTCATTTTTAGATGTTGAGAGAGTGAGCTTCACTCTGGTGTGGTCAACTAACATGAAAAGAATAAGAAGCAGTCATACGGATGTTGCTCAACTCAACACTCATTATACATTTTATACCCACAAAACAAGGGGGGGAACCAGGACCTCCAAACATGAAAATTTAAAAATGAGGAAGGAAATACTTTCCCTTTATATGACAATGGTTAATCGTTTAAAAAGCCAACATGCTTCGACCATAGCAGCCTTCATCAGAGCTTGCGTGTGCCTGATTTCCCCCTTTTTTCCAAGAACACCCTACACTTCTTTATATTTTTTTGAACTACTTTGACCATATTGAGCAACCAGTCATCCCCCTTTTCAAACATATGTTACCTTTTGAAAACCTTGTGTCATCAACATTAAAATACAATTTAACATATGACAGTATTTGTACTTTTTTCTTGATATATTCCCATTTTAAAAAGTAATGAAAATGAAAATGAAATATCTCAACAAAAATAACAATTGGATCTCTTATTTGACCTGTAAACATTATTACTTACACTATACCCGATTCTTAACCCAATATTCCTTTGCCGGTCATTATTAATTAAATTAATCGCTGTATAAACTTCTTCAAATAGTATCAATGTAACGCAGCCCATGCACAATGTAAGCCCAAGATCCTTTGATCTGTCTCGCAGTTTCTGTGTAACATGTTAACTGTCTCAACTCCCCTGATGCAGAATCACACCTTTCATCATTTTCAGAAGTCTAAAAGCACAACAGTTATTTTTCACAAATCTATGATTAAAAAAAGCTTACAGGGAACGATGTCCTTGTATCGGTTCTTCTTGATGTTTTCTTGCTTTTCGGCAGTCTTTGTGGGGTAGGTCCTGTCTGTGCGATACTTCGTCGACTGGCTTTTCAACCTCTGAAAAACATGAAAGACATTTAATGACATTGTGTAGCATTGAGTTACAAGTAATACGTGGCAGCCATGTGAATGTCGCAAAGCTACCAGTTTCTTTAGTTTGTTTTGAAAAGTGGATAGGTTATCTACTCCACACTGATAACCATCCTAGGAACACATCCAGGCTTGGCACACTCCTGACAACAGACCCACCCTCCATCACCATCCTCCCCACACCCCAGGGAGGGCGGCCTGGCCCTGGCCCTGGCCCTGGCCATCACCACCTTCCGGTCACCCACCTCGAGGGACCTTGCGCACCTCCCCGATCATGCAGGCCCACAAATGTTGTTATATTGTCAGTTTTGTGGCATGTTTTTCTGCGTTCAGGTCATGGATAACTCAGTTGTAATTGAAGTCCCAATACCGGGGTTGAAAATGACCTATGATGGGTAATAAGCACCTTTTTCGGTACATTTATGGGAGGCTTCTTTGGTGTTTAAGATGTTTAGTTTGGAGAGAAAAAGGGGCAAAATGAATTTAACCTATTGCAACGTTGGTCAAACAGGCTGAGTTCTTGTGATTCAACCCCAGATGACAAGAATCTATGACTCACTTCACCAGAAACTGTCACGATGGCATAAAAAACCGAAAGGATTTCCATGTAGAATTTACTGCGTGGAGGGTTTGACTCTTCAGATTGAAGACATGGGCACGTATCTCATACAACATGCTTTACAGGATTTTTCTTCAGACACTGGTCTTTTTGTTCAGAGGCCAGCTCTCCTCAGAACCAGTCTGCTGAAGGCCTTGCAGACCATCTTCACTGTCACACCACAGTGTGCTTTTTGTTCACACAGGAAGTGATGCAACGGATCCCTTCCTCCAGAGTGGTCTGGGTGAAAGCTGCATGACAGCAGAAAGGACAGCATGTGAAGCACACGGTGCTGCCCTGAGGCATGGCGTGTCACTCATTGCCATGGCAGCAGGCCACAGATGATTCACCTCAGGGTTCAAGAGTTTTTTTTTTGTGTGCATATACATGAGTTTGTGTGTGGATGTACATTATGATACAGTATGAAAAAAGAGTGGCTGAATGATAAGTGAAAATGGATTGAAGACGTGAACAATGCCTGCTACTTGTTACATGAATACATTTGCCTAGTGGTCTTCCTTGTTTGGGCGCTTTTAGTGACAAACATCAGCGCAAAGAGGAAGCTCAAAAGTCTAACATCTAACAATATACCACCATGTTACTTCCCTGAATCTGACGCCTTTTTTACAACAAAAATCCAAGAGTCTTTGTCATAGTGATTACCACCAGTTCATTGAGAACAAACAAACACAGATATCTTGTCTAATGATGTTAAAATGAAAGCCCTCTTCCATAACAAACCTCACAAAAGCCAACTAAAAACTTGACTCACCGTAAATTCCCCGACTATGCCATTTGGTGCCTCCCTGTCCAAAGCCTCCTGTCTCTCCAGTTGGGCCAGGAAGCTCCTCAATATCCCGGCTTGATGCCCCATGGCTGGCTGTACTCTTCCAGAGGTGGGACACCTTCCAGAGGCATGTCAGGACACAGAGGTCCTCGTCCCGGGGTCATGGATCAGAGTTAGGCCGACCAGTGGCTTTGGTGTAAGGGTGGTGGCACTCCTGTCGCTGCTGCTACAGACACAGAGATCACTTCTCTAATGCAACTGTCACATTCAGGAACTATTGTGGAGGAACGTGTGAACTGTCTTAGAGGAAGCAAGAGTAAGCTAACAGGTTCTGTGGTCAGATTAGAAATGTTGCCACGCCCCCATGGGTGTCTCTCACAGGGTCCTAAAGTCACCCAATTTGATTATAAGGGTGTCACAGAGAGGGAAGGAGAGGGAAACACCCACAAATAGAGTGGGACACACAAAACAGAGGCAACACACAGCTGTTCCTACCTCAAATCAGAGCGCAGCGCAAGACGTCTAGCCTGTTGGACAACATTCAGGACGCGCAAGAGGAGTGGAGGAGGGATCATGTGGGGAGGGATGGAGGCAGAAGGAGTGGTGAAGACACAGGGTGTCTGGGAATCCTGAAAATCCTGATGTTCTGAAGCCGACACAGCAGGAACCAACTAAACTGTCAGGGGTCTCTTTATTACTGACTTGATGCCCACAAAACAAGTCCCAAATCCTGTTTTGATTCACTGAGGACAACAGAATGGAGTGATAGTTTCAATTGAACACCTATACATGTTGGCCATGTTTGTTTCTAGAGCTCAAAAGAAACATCAGCATGGCTTATTTCTTTCTATTTCTACAATCTATGTCGACTTTAATTTGTATATTTTCCCTGATATTGTAAGGTACTTGTTCCTTGTTTTGTGCTGGGCTTATTTTTCAAGTAAGCACACAATAATCAAATCAACTCAGTCACTCTTTAGAACTTAAATTCCCTACCAACTGTGTTTCTTGAAGAAGCTGTTTAAGCTCTAAATCCGTAGAGTTTAAAAAGCAACGGGAAACTTTGAGGGAAACATACAGGAGTTCCTTTTTTTAAAGATAGTAGGCAGATGTTTGTAAGAGCATGGAAAAAGATCATAGATCATACACTGTACGTAAAGACCCCACATTGCGATTAAATTATCTAAAATAAACAGCATTGCTTTTGTGGCGATAAGGGAAACACACTAAGAGCAGGCTGTGCTGGAGGCAGCTTATTTTCCTTTAGTTACATCAGAAGAAAGTTACTTCACGTTGTCAGATCGGCCAAAACTATAATGCCTTAAAACCTGCATTCAGCTGATCTTGAACACTTCATCGGTACAATGCTGACCCCTAGCGGCTACGTCGTAAATGAACACAAGTTGCCACTCTGATATTTAAAGATATAATTTACGTGTCTGTTTGTGGGATTTATTGTCAGAATTATCATCCAATAGAATCAAGTGTGTTACTATAAATAGATAAACATTTAAGTGCCAGGTGGAAGGATGTTCTCCTCATCCCGAAAAAGGGACTACAGGTCAAATAAGGCCTGTTGATATATAACACTTATAGTCATTTCCCCCGGATATATAAGGCTCAAGCTTCTTTAACTGTAAAGACAATAAGGGGGGCTTCTTCTGCAGACTGTGGTAACATGACACACTTCAGCATTGCTTTAACCAACAATGCACTGACAGGAAGTCACAACCGCCTCAGTCCACCTCCTGTACTTCACTGTGAGGTTTGAAAGATGGTTATTGGCATCAAAATGAAGACACTGTGTCTGATTCTACTTTTTCACGGTGAGTTGACTGTAAATCTCTTTAAAATCGAACAAGATTTTTGAAAAGGGTGCACAGGTTTTTTGTTTTTCAAAAGCAAGAAAGTAATTTTAAAAGTTAATTGAAATCTCTTCTTTTGGATTGTTTTTTTTTTAATACAACAACTGTTGATAGCAGCTGTCTACACTTATTCTTCACTTGGATGTGACTGAACCTCTGATTCATTTGTTATAGACTCGTGAAAGATTTCAATTTGGGGAAAAAAGGTTAATTGACAGAATGTTTTGTGTCATACAAAGAAAACTTTTACGTTTTCACTTTCATTTCTTACAAAGTGCTTTTTGTTGCTTGAAGTTTAAACCTAAATACAAACTTAAAAAACAACTTTCCAAGATCTTTTTTTGTTTTTGCATACAGTTTACTCATTAAATGTTTTTGCACAGTCAAATTGAAAGTTGAAAATAATGCTGATAAAGCTGAAAAACAGGAGCACTTTTTCTGTTTCCTGCGGCTCTGAGCATTTCTCATCTTCTCATCGTTCTGATCGGCCCTTGTCTTTCAGGCAGCCTGCAGCTCCAGTGTAACAAAAAGCAGATCACAGCTCACATAGGAGGGGATTTCATTATTTCCTGCGAGTACGATGCAACCCATTACTTGTTTAGTAAAAAGTACTGGTGCCGAGGGGAGTCCAGAGGAACCTGTGTGATTCTGCTGGATTCAGAAGGCCGAGCTAAAACAGAACGTACACACAGGTCTCTCATTGTGGATGCTGGAAGAAAAGGGCTGTTTGTGAAAGTCACAAAACTCCAATTTGACGACGCTGGAGTGTACTGGGTTGGGATTGACAAAATGAATGCTGACGTCATGTTTTCAGTTAAAGTGGTTGTCACTGAAGGTAAATAGAAAGAAAATAAATAATGACACTGTCAGGAACATCTGTGGACTGCATTTTGAACATTTGTTCCTCTGAAGTTAAACCTTTTTCATTTCTTTGCCAGTTCCCGTATCTAAACCCAGACTTTGGCCCCTGAGCCCTCTGCTGAACAGGCCTACGTGTTGGGGCCAGCCGGTGACGGTGCGCTGTGGTTGCAAACAGGGCACCGCCATCCGCTACACTTGGTTCCACAAGAAGGCTGTGCTTCAGCTCTCACAGGACTTAAGGCTGCACTGTGGCTCAGTGAAAAAGGACAGCGGTGACTATTACTGTATCGCCAGCAATGAGGTCAGCAGTCAAAGAAGTGATGGCCTCTCTGTGCAGGTCGTCGTGCCTGCAGACAGCGACTGCATCTATGTCATTAACATGCAAGGTAACAACAGAACTCCTTTTTAACTCTATTTTTACAATTACAATGTTTTATCTCCACCTATAAAAAAAAGCGTCATAACAAAATGTGAGGGGTGTGGCTTTTTTTATGGAGCACAGAGAAATGACCAACCCGGCCTTTAATTGCACTATGAACATCCAACATTTTAAATCTGTTGCTCTTAGTCCTGGGCAGCCTCCAAGAGACAGACGGTCAGAGCTGGCCAAGCTTTCCTCGCAATTCGTCTATTCCCGATATATCTGACGTGGAAAGCTGCGGTGTGCCAATTGTTTTACTTCCTGTGCTTTCTTGAAATCATACTCGATGATAAGTGTGGTTATGTCATGAAACGTAAAGCTTTTAAAACCGTCATTGCAGCTGCAGGAACTTTTAGACAACAAAAGTGAATAGATGTTTTTTCTAAAGTAAGGAGTAAAAAAAAAAAAGACCTTAGTGTATCCCATGATCCCCCTCGGCCCAGACCAGGATGCATTCATGTGGCAGCAGATCGTTCCATCCCTATGAAGTCTAAAAAGTCTTCCAACCAACAGCTACAACTAAAACAGTTTGAGCTGAATCGTCCAATTCAACCCAATGTTACAAATTTCATTCGCGTCACAGATAACCCATTAGTTTGTCTCCTGATATACACAATAAAATACTTTTTGGAATCGTGACCTGAAGGATCTGAGAGGGAGGGACTTGGTTACAGCTAACCAGGAGGAATAGAATAATGAAAAGTGAATGGAAGTCAACTGGAGGTTAAAGGCTTTATATGTGATTTTTTGATCCAGCAGATGTCGCCCTTGAGCACCAGCATGAAACCAAAACAACTCGCTGTGCATTGTTGTGTTAGCATGCTAACGTTAGCGATCTTTATTGTGCTCGTATCTTCACACTGCATGTAAATTTACCTGAAATGAGCGTGATCTAGAAACACAGTTAAGCAGTGAGTACAGTATGTTATTCTTCTTTTCTCTAGTCCCTCAATTAAACAACTTTTATTCGTGAGGGGAGGAGTCAGCTGGCCGTCCGGGCGATGTAAACAAACTTAAGATAGGACTCGGGAAAACTCTGAAAACATCACAGACAGTGGGACTCAGGTGTTACACCCATTGTAGACAGTCATGACTCACAGAGTTATTTTCAGAGGATAAACTTGATTTCTATTATATTTAAGTCTGAAAAATCGCATATAAAGACTTTAAGTCACAGAAATAGAATCATTTTAACACTTGTGTCATTTGTGGCTCTGTCAACTTCCTTTTTCAAAGATTTATTTTTGGGACTTTTTGTGTCTTTATTGGAGCGATTGGACAGTTGATAGAGAGAGAGAGAGAGAGAGAGAGAGAGAGAGAGAGAGAGAGAGAGAGAGAGAGTGGTGAAAATCATGTGGGAAGGTAGACACAAGTCGGATTTGAACCTCGGCCACCCGCTTGGAGGACTACAGCTTGTTTTTGTTTTTCTTACAGTTTTGAAGTACATTTTGAAGTGTTTCCTTGTTTTGTGCAATTACTCCTGCCCGAACCTGACAGCTCAGATCGATCTGTCATGAAGGTCTATAACAGACACAAAAGTCCACACAACCTTTCACCAAATATATTAGCAATGTCTGTTTTTTTAAGTATATCTTTTGGGCAGTTTTGCCTTCGTTAGAAAGGACAGCTCAAGAGAGAGAGGGAGGAGGGAGTGGGGGATGACATGCAGCAAAGGGCCTTAAATGTGGACTTTGGCGACTCCTAGTGGTCATATAAGAGTAGACAGCACAATAAATAAGCAGCATCTCTGTCCACAGTTTATCTCACGGATTGGACCCAGGACACTCTGCACCAGTATCCAGTGGGATTTTTCTCAATAGAAACATGAACAAAATACTGCAAGAAGCTTTCATGAAGACTTTATAAAACAATTTAAACTTTGGCCGTCTGATCTGAGGTCTTTGGGTGATCGTTACTGCACGAGATGTTTAACGTCTTTCTTTCTATTCAACAGGCCAACCTGTTTACGACTGTGCAGACAGAATGACAACGACCACCATCTCAACCACAACTCCGGCCCCAACTCCAACCACAAATCCACCTTCGACTCCATTATTGACCTCCACCACCTGCCAACCTATCACGAAAATCCACTTTGAGGCCACAAACCAGTCTTTACCTTTCAATCAGACTGAACAAAAGTGGTTTCTCTGCAGGTTAGGCTAAACTATTTTACTTTTCTCCTTACTCTAATGAAAGCATAACATTAGCGTTTAACTGACAGTAATCCTTTAAAATGTCTTCAAATGGCTCCATAATTGATGACTTCTAAATCAAATCTCTCTTTTTCAGGGCACTCATGGGTTTTCCATTGTGGTATACTCTGCTGCGTTGGATTATTTTTGCATCCTTGCTGGTATTTCTGCACATATTTTATGTGTGTATAACACTGAGACAAACAAAGGCCAAGAGGAAGAGGCGGGTTCGTATCAAACATTTGGCTCAGTGACCTTTATCCCAGCAGTGGCGTTTCTTTGGAAGTCATATCAGCTCGGGAGGACTCGGTTTCCTGGTGTCACGAGGTTCTTTGATAACTCTTGATTACCTGATTACCTGTGAGCATGTTTAACAGAATGTCTCAATGCTACATCGATGTTTCTGCATTATCAACAATTATATAAAGAGGTAATTTAAGACACTTTCCATTTAGTGTATTTTAACAGGTGTAAAAAGTGGAATGAGCTGTCACCCATATCGTGGCTCAAATAATACTATATGTTTGATTCTATAAGCTGTTTTTTTTCTATATAAACATATGAATTAACTCGTCTTCTTGGAACATGTACAGTAATAACCATGACTAATTTTTAAAGTGGAAATGAGGCGTCCCTCTGCGATACTCTGTTGGCATTTCCCAAAGTGTTAGTCAAGCAAACACTCTTTGTATTTTCTATTCTTTTATTTTATTTCATTTTACCCCAAAACAAGAATGATAGCGTAGACAGCAAGATAATGTTAATAACAGTAACATATCTGTTTTTTTAAAACATCATACTGATAGTCTCCTATCCCGAGCACAGTGTACAGACATATCCGGATGTAATTACATCCTTCTTCTAGTGTTTATTGGTACATTCTTGAGTTCTCTGTGTGTCTTCAGTGTTTCTTGTCTTGTGTTTCTTCCTGCCTCTCCGTGTGTGTCCTCATTGTCTTCACCTCTTGTTATCAGTCTATGTCAGATTTTAAAACTGTCCAAAAAAATGAATCGCCGACTTGATGGAAGCACGTCAAACTGGGAGTGCAGAGGGGTTTCAGATTTCCAGTGGTATAATATGAACTTTTTTGCTGCAGTCATAGCCAGTAGAATACCTTCCTTTTTCATGGCCGTCAAATATGTTGAGCATCGCCCAAATCGGCAATGCAAGGATCTTTAAGAAAATATTTTAGATAGTTGGTCAATTATAAAATTCCAATAAATATTCAGTCATTATATCATCTGTTTAATTGTTTCACCTAGGTCAGCAGGAAGATGTCTCATGGCTGAATTTAAGAAGCCTGTGTGGAGTGTAATATATGAAAGATGTTACATTGGATAAATCTGTGTTTTGTATTAGTTAAGTAGGGACTGCGATCCGTGCATTGTATTCATACTGAATGTTTTTTCCCCCATTTAGCCTTAAGTTGGACCATCCTATCATCTGTCTGTTCATTATTTAGTTGTGCGTATCATTTAGATATGAGGCCCTTCTGGGTTTTGGTGTGAAACATTTTCTCTTACGCAGTGAACAGCTCATGCAATTCAACATTATGAAACAGGAAGGCATTTTTCTAGCCGGAAAAGACAAACCCACAGATCCCCACCGCAGATCAACAATCTCCATCAAACCTACAGAAGCTGAAGAGGAAGTAATGTAGAGTCCGAAGAGAGTGTGGAATATTTCATGAGTGATGCAGGGCCATGTGAGTGATACAAGGATCAGTCCTACAGAACTGTAAATGCCCCACCTTTACTTTTGGAAACTTATCGCTCAAAACAAACAGTGACTCAATGGTGACGTGTTTTATACCATGGAAATATGTTGTCAAGTTTCGTATGATAAATCAAATCCAGGGTTGGAGAGGGTAATACAGAATTAAATATCTGTAAGTAACAACCCTCTCTCATCACAAGAAGTGATTTGATAAAATTCTTGGGTTTCTAAATAAGCTGTAAACATTGTTGTCAGTACACTTATATGGACTGTTGGTCTTTCTGTGTCTTATCTTACTCACGTCCCTCATGATGATATCAATGGTAGTTATGTTTAATATGTTTGTATTGATGTCTTCTTTATACTGTTTTTATTTTGTGTATTTCCTGTATGGCGACTGCTGCAAACCAAATTACCCCCTCGGGGTCAATAAAGATTTGTCCAAAACAATCCTTAAACCTCTGGAGTACTGAAACTGAGCAGACATTTCAGTGGTCTAAATGTCACAATTATTTGTCGTCAGTTCCTATCGGATAAAAATGAATGGATCTATAATGTGTATGGGATATGTTACTCCCACTTTTGTTATGCTTATATGTAAACTGAGTGATATCATCACAAATTTCTAATAATGAAATATTTGACCAGAAGAAAACAACAAGAAGTCCAGTATCAAACTCATCTTATTTTATTTTTTTAGGCCTTCAAAGTGAAATGACAGCGGCTCGAAAAGCTTCTTAAAGTGCTGTTACGGCTGGTGTGACTGTTTCAGGGCGTCTTTGTATGTTATTGAAGGAAAGGGCAGAAACATGATGATCATTTGTTTTACGCACCCTTGAACTCGTTGCTCAGGAGGAAGTGTTTCATTTCCTCTCATTCACGCTGCCAGGGTTGGGCACATTACATCACACACTATAAATGCTTTGACTGATAGTCTATATTGTTACCATTGAAATGAAGGTAATTTGCAATCAGAGGACACGTCATTTTTTTTTTGTCTAAGCTTTATTCAACCAGTATTTTCTGTTGTATTTGTGTAGCACACAAAGCAGTCATTACAGATTCCATTGAAAGCTTTTTCTTCCTCTTTTGGGGGCAAAAATCAAATATCCTCATTGAAAAAAGGGTAACATTTTGGTATTCATCAATATTAAAATATGGTATTTTGTTATGGGGGAAATAACTAATTGTTCCTGTATATCCTTGTATTATTTACAAAAGTAAACAACTCCTGAATTGATCAACATTTTTCTGGTAAACAACAAAAAAAAAAATTCTACTGATAAATTAACTTTTAAGAATGATCCTTTTTTTTTTGCACGCAATAGGGTAAAGGCAGCGGAATTTATTTCATTTAGATTCTTTATGTTTGATTAACCCAAAAACTACAATTCCCTACAGGCTAATAACTTCAATAAATAATAAATAGTAAATAAATCAACAGAGGTCTCACCGTTATCTTGAGAGTATAGCCAATGACAAAACAAAAGTTTACATGTTTTTAAACATAAATTTGTGATAATATCCCTTTTACATTTCCACTGAAATTTGACTTTTGGTTCAGCTCAGGTCATAATTACGTCAGTATTTAAGCCACGCCCATTTCCGGCAAGGCGTCTTAGCAGTTAACATTAAAGATCACCATTGTGAACGCAGCAGCTACCAGAGCGACACTTCTGACTTACAGCTAGTTTGGTAAGTTAAAAAAGAAATAACTCGATGTTTTACCAACTATGCAACACGCCGCCAAAGCCTGAAGAAAAAACAAAATTGGCGTTAACGGCCTAAAAGAGGAACGACATTGTTGTTGTGACATTAAGCTAAGTTAAGCTGTTTTGCTGTTGCGATCTTGATTATGAGTAAGTTCAGACCGTCGGGTGACCACACCGTAATATTTTCCTACACCTTTGTTAACTGTAATTTATTTCGGCATAGTTTAAACGTTTAAATTGAAGGTAGTTTTAGGGTTTTCTCGTTGGTTTAACATGACGAGTTGCCGCCCACAATGTGTTGTGTTAACGGAAGACGTACATGACCTGGCGTGTTAGCACGTTTTATGGGCTGCTTTTATCATGCTGTAATGTCTTGTTTTTTTATTTACCATGTGTTCCAACTTGTGCCGAATTTGCAAATCCGTTATATGGAGACGGAAAAGTTGTGAATTAGCTCAGTAAGGCGATCCACAGAGGCAGCGTTTGCGTAATTTGCTAATGTTGACAGATTTTGAACGGGAGTTTGGCGTGAACTAATATTTTGGCTACAAAGGATACGGCGACACATTTACCGTACCTGCAACAATTAAAACCAGTCATACATTTCAGATAAAACATGCTTTTTCAGATAGATGCTCTGTGTATTTTTTAGGTTAATTGTTGTTTTGGTTTAGCTTAACAGCTTAATGGCGTTTTTGTTTGGCAGAAATGGCTCTTTGACTCCAGCCAAAACATTGCCAAATCCCATCATGGCTGTCTGTCTCGTCTTTCTACTCAGCAGTCTTGGCCTTGCTATTACTGCTCAAGGTGAGTGGCAGTGGGGATAAGCTGGAGACACCAACGTGATTATAAACAAGCTCCTGTTTGGTCTTTTACTATCTTGTCATCCCCTCAAGAGTTCATCTTTCCCCGTCTTCATTTATCATTACAGCTCAAGACTGTCCCAAGCCTGTTCCAGGACCCAACATGAATTTAAAGGGCAATGACATAGTTTTGCAAGAATTCCCAGATGGGACCAAAGTGACTTTTACCTGTGAAGTTGGCTACCAGTCTGCAGGAGGGTCTGGAGTCAGTACTTGTTCTGCTGGGAATTGGAGTCCTGTGAGGCTGCAATGCGAGAGTGAATATGAACAATTTCTGTTATTGTTTCTCTGGGCAGAGCACTTTTATAAATAACATAAAATCTATTGTTTTTTAGATAAGTTAATGATCATTTTCTGACCAGGCTGTTGACATGTCTCATTTCAGGGAAAAACTGTGGTGCACTTGAAGCTGTAATAAATGGTGACATAACTTACCCTACATCAACCCTGTTTGGTGATACAGCGGTGGTAACTTGCAACGCTGGGTTAGTAACAAACTGATAACTCTGAGGGTTCATGTTCATTGAGACTATCACAGCTCACTTTTTAATATTTGTCCACTGTTTGCCAACATTACAACTTATTCCAATCGAAGTGATTGTTGTGTCAAAAGTGATATTTTAATTTTTGATTCCCTAATTAGATACAGACGGGTTGGTCGAGAGACAATCCGCTGTGGAGACGCAGGTTGGTTGGACAGGTTGCCTGTATGTGAAGGTTAGTCATTTCTTTGTTAATACGAGGCTCATGACTTAAGAATAATGTAAGTGATTATTTCAGCTTAAACCCATGTACCTTTCATTGTGCAGTGTCTAAGTGTGGTCCACCACCTGCGATAGCTGATGGCACATTCTATCCAGAAAAAGAAGAGTATGAATACAGGGAAGTTGTGCGTTACACCTGTCAGAAGGATTTAACTCTCAATGGATCCAAATCAGTCTCCTGTTCAGAAGATGGAACATTTACACCTGCAGCTCCAACATGTATAAGTAAGACTTTGAAATGTTCTCCAACCTTTCCGAACACCAAAGTCATCTTAGCCGTGGTTGACAGGCTCACATATGGCGATTGACTTTATGTTTGTATTCCCCTGCAGATGTTCAATGTGAAGCCCCAAATATCGACAATGCCGAATATATTGCAGGTTCTCTGAATTCTTACAAATACAAAGCTACAGTGACACATCAGTGCAGAACTGGATATATGATGATAGGACAAAGTACCTCTGTATGTGAAATAGATGGCGAGTGGTCACCTAAACTTCTGGAATGTCAACGTAAGCCAAATAATTATTATTTATTTTTTAGATAAGTTAATGATCATTTTCTGACCAGGCTGTTGACATTTTGTGCATGACGTTTTCTCATTTCAGGGAAAAACTGTGGTGCACTTGAAGCTGTAATAAATGGTACAATAACTTACCCTACATCAACCCTGTTTGGTGATACAGCGGTGGTAACTTGCAACACTGGGTTAGTAACAAACTGATAACTCTGAGGGTTCATGTTCATTGAGACTATCACAACTCAACTTTTTAATATTTGTCCACTGTTTGCCAACATTACAACTTATTCCAATCGAAGTGATTGTTGTGTCAAAAGTAATATTTTTATTTTTGATTCCCTAATTAGATACAAACTGGTTGGTCGAGATACAATCCGCTGTGGAGACGCAGGTTGGTTGGACAGGTTGCCTGTATGTGAAGGTTAGTCATTTCTTTGTAGATACGAGCCTCATGACTTAAGAATAATTTGGCGATGTGGCGATAGCATTTTTTCTCACACCAAATTCCAAAGTCATCTTAGCTGTGGTTGACAGGCTCACATATGGCGATTGACTTTATGTTTGTATTCCCCTGCAGAGGTTCAGTGTAAAGCCCCAAATATCGACAATGCCGACTTTACTTCAGGTTCTCGGTATCCTTACAAATACAAAGCTACAGTGACACATCAGTGCAGAACTGGATATATGATGATAGGACAAAGTACCTCTGTATGTGGAATAGATGGCCAGTGGTCACCTAAACTTCTGGAATGTAAACGTAAGCCAAATAATTATTATTTTCTGATTTCAGCTTCATGAATGAAAAATCACCTGCTGTGTGTTAACATGATTTTTGGACTGATCCAGATGTCATCACGTCCTCACAAATGTCTATTTTTTTCTTCCTAATGAGTTCAAATAGATTTAAAAAGTTAGGATGTGGCAATAGCATTTTTTCTCACACCAAATTCCCAAGTTATTTACTTTTCTCACATTTATTTTTAAGTATAGTTAAGCTGATATATTCTTTCCTCAAACTTGTAACTTGTTAAGTCTACTGTGTGGCAAATAATTACTTTCCAAATGTTCAAATTTGGCTTTTACAATCTGTGTATCATGGCTTTTTTTTATTTAGTGCATGTGCAAATATTTGAGGAAAGAAGCCCCTCCCCCTCAACATCCTTTAATCTTTATATTTTCATTCCATCCTTATGCTTCCCACAAAGTGATCAGTCCAGTCCGTTCTGTTTAAAGCATGCAAACTACAAGTCCTGAACAGAAAAGAGCAGAGCAGCATGCACCGGTGATAGAAGCTTGTGCTTGATCTTAGTTCAATGTGTCCTCCCTTCTAGTGTTTCTCTTCTTTATCTTTACAGCCAAAAACTGTTCCAAACCTGTCGGAGGAGTCAACATGAATTTGAAGGACAGAAATACGCCCACATTCCCACATGGAACGAGCGTTACGTTTGTCTGTGATGCTGGCTACGAGTCTGCAGGAGGCTCTGCAGTCACTACCTGTACTACGGGGAATTGGAGCCCTGTGACGCTGAAATGCAAGAGTGAATATTTGCGCTTTCTATTACCTTTCACCTTTATGGAACCCTCAAGTTAAAAAAAATGTCTTACCTGCAGATTAAAGCTCTTTTAGGTTAGGGACTGATATTTTTTAGTGACCAGTATGTGCGCATGAAATGATATGAAATTCTACAGTTTTCATATTAACATTTTTAAAAATCAATCTGGATGCATCCTATATGTCTGTTACACTAACAATGTTATCTTTTACGTTTTGCAGAATTGCCCACCCCAACTACGACAGACAAGCCAGGTGGAAAGGAAGGTGATGGTGATGGAGGGACAGGTAGAGTTCATGTTAACATTTCAGTACAGTGTGTTTTTAACAATATCAGTTCTTCAGTATATTTAAGCTCAAACTGCTGCCATTAAGACGACAACTGAATGATCCAAGTGACTTTCTATCAGTAGAGGTATAGAGCAGTCATTTTATTTTCTGGCCGTATTTCATTTGTTAGGTTTGGTATTATCTTAATAATAATAATAATAATAAGTTTATTTGTGTAGCACTTTTTCAAGACAAGGTTTTACAAAGACATAATTACGTGTAAAAAAGTAACTGGATGGTCGCCAGTTCAAAATAAAATAAATAAAAGTACTGCACTTTAAATCGTCTGTGTGGGAAACACTGCTCTTATGATTGTCCACTTTTACCAGCCTCACATACCTACTCTGTTCTTTTTTTTTATTTTGCAGACAACGGTAGAAGCATCACTGGTGAAACTGTGGGGATTATTATTGGATGTGGTAAGTTTCAACTTAATCCTTGAACAGCAGATAAAGTATATTATGCATCATGTTTTTGTCTATGTGAAACTCTGTTGTTGGATTGTCTTCATGCTGTTAAAGGCTGAGGTTTATTAATGACATACATTTTGCCATGGAAGGTTCATTTTGTATAAACTTATATACTAACAGAGTTTTGTTCAAGAATAAAGTATTCCAATGACCACTTTTGTCAAGAAGGTTTTAAGCATTTAAATGGTGCTACATTTGTTGGCCTCATCCCTATTTCTTTATTTTTACATCATCTCCATTTTTTGCAGTTGCAGGTCTCTTCCTGGTCGTTCTTGCAATCTATTATTTCAAGAAAAAGAAAAAGGCAGGGTAAAATGTAGTTTTATCTAACTCTGCAGACTAACCTCTGAGCTTTGCTGGATCCCTCTGTGGCTTTTTAACTTTTCTTATATGTCTCAGTGCTTTTTCTTCTTTCAGCGTCTTCATCCTGTCCAGCTCTGATTGCTGAGTGTTGTGTGTGTTTAGACTGTGTGCTTTCACAAGGCCTTTGTTCAAGGTTTATTCTCTCTAACAAACAGCATTAATGTTGTCATCATTGTAACTTATCAGTAGGGCATCATTGTGATGAGAGCACAGGTATCTTGCACTAAGTGCAGATGCACAGTCCTGTCAGTTTCCATGAGTGTCACAAACTAACATGAGCAAAAAGGAAGTACTTGTGCTCGTCAAATAGACGCACAGAAAAGACTTCATGCTTCTCATACACTCCCATGTCTAAAGTCCAGAGCCAACAGGAACACACTGCGACAGAAGCTTTTGGTATTTAAGTGTACATTGCAGACTTGTTCCAAGGCACAGGACAATCTTACGTTTCCGTTATTTAAAACATTTTCTATTTTAATCATTGAAAGAGGAAGTGGCTACAGGTGTGACACATCTCCAGACATCTTTTTTCTTTTTTTTTTTTAAAGGTGGGGTTATTTGTGTGTAATGCTTCACTTTTTGTTTAGGAGAGCGTCTTAAAAAATGAAACATATTATACCTCCTTTAACACAGTGAAACCTGACTGTGTGAAGAGTTCCTAAACGTGTGTGGCATTCACATTTTGTTATCTTTGTGTTAAACAAATTCAAAGCCAGTAATCGTTGTCAATGCAAATAAAACCAAACAACACAAATGGTGTTATGATGATGTTGGCGATGTGAACATTGTTTAAACATTTGACTTTTCAGTGATCTCGTTCACTGCAGCAATTTGAGCTTCTGTTGGGAGTGTAACAAGAAAATCCACATTCGATAACAACCTTCTGTTTTAATAGTGATTCTCAGGTGACCTGTTGAATTCTGCATTAAGAGATGAACTTCTGCAAGAGGCAAATTGTTTGCAACATAAAGGCCTTGTGTGAAGTATTCTGTTGCTTTTGGGTGAAGCGGGTGTTTTCCTCCTCTTCCTGTAGCTCCTCTTGCTTCCTGTCTGCCTGATCGATCCCGTGGTTAGCATTAATATTGATGAGTGGTTTTTGGATTGCAGCTTTCAGAAAGGCACTGGTGAAAATGAGACTACAGGTGACGGAAACTCTGTGGAGCTCCAGAGTGGGTAAGAAGACGGACCACTGAGCACATTCAAACTCTTTCATGCCCAGTGACTTAACACTGCTGTGTGACAATGTCTTTAAATGTTCACTCTGTACAGACATGATGAATTCTTATCATTCTTAATTGATGATTTTTTTTCTCTCTTTCATGGTTGCCTGCACTCCTTTGCAACCTGCTGGGCAACTTTCTGCAATCTTTCAGTGGGATTTTAGATTTTCTTTCAACATGTCTTAACTTTTATCACTTTTCTTTTTCTCCTTTCTTTTTTCTGTAGTAAGCACAGCGCTGCTGTTGGTACAACATTACTGAATGAGAAAACGTCTGATTAAGAAGAGGATCGTCACTGGACTAGTCATCGAATGTATTTGTGCCGTCCATGTCCATGTTGATTGCGCAGGCTCATTGAAAGTGTTTCCGCAGAAAGTCTGAGATTATGAATTCTCAGCAGAACAAGCTCAAGCCTTAGCAAATGCTCGAGGGGGGCTTCTCTGATCTTTTACATTTTAGCACGTCGCTCAAAACGCCTTAGTTTTAGTCTTGTATATTTCAATAGAGCGATGCCTTGTAAGCTCTCTACATCATCATAACAGTTTTTCATTGTCAGTAATTATGAAGGAGTGAGGACCTCATGGCCCGGTTGTTCAAAAGTTATCTGTTTGGACCAGAACTTGAAATCGGGTTGTCCAAAGGTTATTAGATAAGATCAAGTGATCAAATCCTGTCTTTTTATCCGGATCAAACCCCGAGCTTGAGTTCTTCAAAACTCTGAAGAAGGATCAAGATTACTTTTGATCACATAAAATCTGTATTATCCTGATTCCAGCAGAGGTCTAAAAAACCATAACATTTGTCAAACAACACAATGTTCTTAGAGGGGAGTGGATATTTGAAGACATTATTGAAACTATAAAAGTATATCCAGAACAGCTTGATCCAATACTGTTTTCCTTTGAGGAAAAAACTGGACAAACCTGAGTTAGTTCTGGAAAAATGGATTTCCAAGCCCAGCTCATTTTAATCTGGATTGAACCTTTTGATCAACCGGGCCCAATATTATTAAAAAGACATATACTTGCACTAAAGCACGCAGATCAGCTCAGCTTTGCCAATACTGCACATTTACACGATGACTTAAATGAAGAAAAATCTGTAAATAATTTTTTTAGTAGTAGTAATAAATATTTATTTCGGTCCATGACCACAAAGCATAGAACATACACGAACAATAATAAGAATTTAAAAAACAATGGCCGAAAAGGTGTAGGATGAAGCCGAGGCTTATTATGCCTACCCTTTAAACATTTCATTTCTACAGTATATCAAAACAAGAATAGCTGCAAAAAAACAAAAACAAACAAAGTAACCTGATTTCACAAAACAGAAAACATTTGTCAGTTAACCAAAACAAAACAATAAAAAGGAAAAAAATAAATAAATTAAAAGCTTCCATAAATGATTAATTATAGTCAAACTATAGTTATAAACTATTATAGATTTTCTATACATTTATATATTATATATGTATAGATCATGTACATAACTAGATTATATATATAATTATAGCAGCAGTATTAGTACTGCTGTTGGTGTCATTATCATAATGATGTTTTATATTTTTCTATTACCCTGAATTTGAACAGTTTTTTGAATTTTCTAATTGAGCTGCACATTTTTAATTTGTTATTTAAGTTGTTCCAGAGGTTAACCCCTTTAACAGATAAGCACCTACTTTTGGTGTTAGTTCTTGCCCTTGAATTTTTTGAAAAGATTTATTTAATCTTGTGCCTTTAATGGAGAGACAGGACAGTGGATAGAGTTGGAAATCAGGGAGAGAGAGTAGGGAATGACATGTCCCTTGAATTTTTGAACATACATGTTCCCCTTAGTTTAAACGTGCTTTCTCTAGCCCTGAACAGTTCCTGGATGCAGTATGGAAGTGCATTATTCTGTGCCTTGTACATTATAACAGCAGTGTTGAGGTCAGCTAGGTCTTCTAGTTTTAAAGTGTGTAGTTTGATGAATAGAGGATTTGTTGATTCATAGTAATTGGTATGATTCACAATTCTGATGGCTTTCTTTTGTAGTATGAAAATTGGGTTTAAGTTTGTTTTGTGTTACCCCATACTTCCACGCAGTACGTAATGTATGGAAGAATGAGGGAGCAGTACATAATATAAAGTGAGCTCTGATTCAAAATATTTTTCATTTTAAATTGTGTATCTGTGATTTCCAGTTGAGTTTATTATCTATTATGATGCCCAAAAAATTATTTTCATTTCCACGTTCAATTTTAAAATCATTGATCTTGAGTTAAGCCTGTTTATTCATTTTTCTATTGCCAAAGATAATATGTTTAGTTTTGCTTAGGTTCAGTGACAGCTTATTAATGTCAAACCACTTCTTTAGAATTGTTAATTCCTTTTCCACTGCATTCAGGTATTCCTTGATTTTGTTGAAGTTTTTGAAGACTTCTACTGTTGAGCTGTATAATTGAGAAAGTACAATCCATTCTTGCACTTTTAAATTGTTTATCAGTGTAGTACACGCAATTGTTGTTTATGTTATTATAAAGGTTGTTTTCAGGATTAATTTCATTATAAATGTCATGCATTTTGTGCTCTGTGTAATCAAAGTTAGCAAAATTCAAATGTTCATGCTTGCTGTAAAGACTATATACGCAATCTCCCCCAATATTATCATTTCCAATGTCTACAAACTCATCGTCATCAACATTTCTGAATGGGTGCAAGTAGTCCTCCTCAAAATCTGTCATTTGTTTTTAGTAGAGTCCACACACACCAAATACACACATCTACACAATAGTCCCTGCAGAATTTGGTCTAGGAACTGCCTAACTTTTCTAGCTGCTCAATGCTCCGAATGCACAGAACTTTAGCCTGTTCTGGTATGCCGTTCATTTTAACAAACACTTTGCAGTTAGAGGTCCAAGTGGCCTGAATTTTCCCTTGCTTCTTCAAGAACCTTTCTTGTCTTGCAGTATCTGCACATTTATTTTGGTGAGATGCTCATTAATATAGACATTTGTGCCCTTCAATCTGCGGCCCTGCCTGAGCAGGTCAATTTTGTGCTTTCTGTTGGGAAAGTGGACTATGACAACATGTTTGTCTGTTTGATTCCTTGTTGGAATAATGTGGCATGCTTCAATGTTGTGTCTATTTATAGAGATTTGTTTTTCATGAAGGAAGGCTGTTACCTGAGCCTCGATTGAATCATCATGGCCAGCGCTGTCCGCCTCTCGCACATCCCCATTCAGGGCCCGAGCATAAGAGCGTGGTTTGAGCGCTAGTCCAGTTATAATGACATAATTTATACGCGTATACTGCTCCAAATCCGATACACGTGTTTCCAAAGAGTTTATCTTGTTCTTTTGCTCCTCGTTTGCCATCTTAAGTTCCTTGATTTCATCCATCAGATTTATTATAGTACGCCGCTGTTTGTTTATGGTCGCCAATTCATCACCCATTATGTTCAAGGAAGACTTTAACTCTCTATGTCCTTCTTAATTTCTTTTGTGGCCATATTGCCGCAAGAGACTCAGTTGAAGCACTGACCTGCTGAAGCCTGTTTGTAGCTGTCTGCTGGTGATGGAAGGTGTAAGGCCTGGCCTGGTGGAGCTGGCTGCTGGTTAAGCCTGGGCCTGGCCTGGTGGAGCTGGCTGCTGGTTAAGCCTGGGCCTGGTGAGGTTTGAGATGCACGGGAGGACCTGAAACCTTGCTCTGAAAACAACTCTTCACTCACTTCAGTTCATAATGTTCTCTTATGACTTCAGCCTCTTCAACCAAGGTGTAGGGTTTATTTGAGTTCGCAGTGGAGCTTGAAAAGTTTAGATACATTAAAGGAAGAATGTACAACTTTGATCCAGCAGGTGTCGCCCTTGAGCACCAGCATGAAACCAAAACAAACTATATGGCCACACTGAATCCTCCACACACCATAATTAAGCACTTAGAGTAAGCAGTGCACAAAATGATCCTCATCTCAAACTGCATTGTTGTGTTAACATGCTAATGGTTAGCTCGAAGCTTCACAGTGCATGTAAATTTAAACGGAATAACCATGATCTAAAAATGCTTATGTGATGTTCAAATAAGCAGTGAGTACACTAAGTTCTGTTCTGTAGTCCTTGACTTAAACAGCTTTTATAAACAACGGGAGGAGCTGGCTGGCCGTCCCGTCGTGTAAACTCGATGTAAAGACGGCTCACTTAGACTGTCATGACTCACAGAGATATTTACAGAGGATATACTTTATTTAGGTGTAAAATGTCACACATTCTTCCTTTCATGGATGTTTATCAAGTCCTTTATGTTATTTCTCTCCTGTATTTAGTATTTATACAGTTTACTAAAAGGCCCAACTAATGAAAGGAGATGGAAATGAGCAAGAAATATGAACTCTGTGCAACACACCAGTTTCATGATTTGTGTTGTAAGTATGTTAAATTGCATTGTCCTATTAAATTCAATAATTTGATTGAAATGCAACACATATTCTACATCCAGAGTTTTAATGCATGTTATTCATAAATACTTTATCCACACTAAAGACTACGCATACAACGTGTATGGCTACACATCAATGAGTACAAACACTGACATAATACATCTGATACCAAAGGCTACAGTGCCACCTTGTGGATTTGACACAAAACTACAAAATGGTTCAAATGATCTCTTAATAAGTTAGCAGACAATCCAGTGATGGAATCTCACAAACCCAATTTACTTACAGGTATCGGTGCTTACCTATTTTTTATTTTTCTTCTGTACAAACAGTGTTTTATTACTTTGCAGAATAACATTTCAGTAACAGAGACAAAAAAAAGCTCTAAAGCTTTATAGCATATTATGCACTTTAAGTGTTTTAGTCGTTGTGTTATTACTTTCACTTACATACAGATCATTCTTCCTCCACTGCTGCAGATGTAGCCAGTCTGTCCTGACACTCCGTATGCTACTAAAATGTCTCTGCGTTGTGTTGTGTATGATGAGACGAAGACCAAAAACTTCCTTGCCAACTGGAGAAAATTTATTTTCACACCATCTTCCTGTGTAAAATAAAATACATTCAGTACAGCAACTTCATACGACTGGGCTTCAACATGCACACCTTTCCTCAGCGGGGTCTCAGGCCGTCTGACACAATGCATACAGGTGTACTGTGACATTCTTTTATAAACGAGAACAAAAACTAAATAAGAAGTATAAATTGTATTTCAGCTTATTTCTTACTCAGCAGTGGCAATTTTGTGTTTTTGTCAAAACTGAAAATGTACTTAAACAGCTAAACTAATCTTCTTATACTGTACACTTCACGTTATATTAAAAGTGCATGTAAAAATATTCATATTTGAAAAAGATGACAAAATGTAAATATGACTTAAAGAACAGACTTTTGGTGAATTATAAATAATTTTGACAAAGCATTTTAACACACCTGTTACACAGACATTAGTCAGGAATGTTATAATATTAATATCATAATACTCATAACATTTCATGAGTGATGCAGGGCCATGTGAGGGATACAGCAAGAATCAGTCCTACAGAACTGTCAATCTGGGTTTTGGTGTGAAACATTTTCTCTTATGCAGTGAACAGCTCATGCCATTCAACATTATGAAACAGGAAGGCGTTTTTCTAGCCGGAAAAGACAAACCCACAGATCCCCACCGCAGATCAACAATCTCCATCAAACTTACTGAAGCTGAAGAGGAAGTAATGTAGAGTCTGAAGAGAGTGTGGAATATTTCATGAGTGATGCAGGGCCATGTGAGTGATACAAGGATCAGTCCTACAGAACTGTAAATGCCCCACCTTTACTTTTGGAAACTTATCGCTCAAAACAAACAGTGACTCAATGGTGACGTGTTTTATACCATGGAAATATGTTGTCAAGTTTAGTATGATAAATCAAATCCAGGGTTGGAGAGGGTAATACAGAATTAAATATCTGTAAGTAACAACCCTCTCTCATCACAAGAAGTGATTTGATAAAATTCTTGGGTTTCTAAATAAGCTGTAAACATTGTTGTCAGTACACTTATATGGACTGTTGGTCTTTCTGTGTCTTATCTTACTCACGTCCCTCATGATGATATCAATGGTAGTTATGTTTAATATGTTTGTATTGATGTCTTCTTTATACTGTTTTTATTTTGTGTATTGCCTGAATGGTGGTGAAATATGGTATTTTGTTATGGGGGAAATGACAAATTGTTCCTGTGTGTATCCTTTCCTTTGTATTATTTAGCCTACAAAAAAATGAACAACCCCTGAATTGATCAACGTTTTGCTGGAAAACAATAAAAAAATGTTTTGTACTGATGAATTAAGATTTAAGAATGATTATTTTTTGCAAGCTATAGGGCAAAGGGCAGTGGAATCTTTTTTAATTTGTTTTTTTATGTTTGATTAAACCAAAAACTACAATTCCCTACAGGCTAATAACTTCAAAAATCAAATCAATCGCAAATCAAGAGAGGCCTTACCGTTATCTTGAGAGGATAGCCAATTAGTGGAGGAACAAACCCCCAAAAAAGGCTTTACTTTTCAAGATACCCCTACCCAAGGTCGAACAAAGCACAACCATATTTTTTCATAACTTGAACTTGTCTAGTTTATGAACCGGATGGTTGTATAAAAATATTTTACTGCAAAATAACTTTTTTTAGATGTTTCATGCATCTTACCAAAAAATGAAAATACAGCTCTAGCCTTATCACATGTATCTCTGGAAATCAGAATCAGAATTTCACCAAATTTGGACAGGATGTTCACAGATAGTTATTAGTTACAATTATGCAAAGTTTTCATCAATACCATTTTCAATTCTTTAATTTTTCACACTTAAACACACATGTAGTTTTGGCGGAAATTGAAAATTAAAACAAAACTTCAAAAGGTATGTATATCAAAGTCTGTCATTTTTTAAGTAAGTACACCAAACATTAAAATATGTCATTTTTTATCTTTTTTAGACTGTTATCTCAACATAAAAGCAAGTTATTTGACTTTACACATGACCCTATGCTGTCACCAGCCCCTAACAGGAAACTAGTGCAGCCAGGATTTCAGGGCGACCTGGTACAATGGGGCCCTATGGATGTGTATGTGGGAGGAGGTGGCTACAAACAATAGATTAAGACTCAACAACAAGACACAATATAATTGTATTCTGTAATATATATATAATTAAACATTTTATAGTTATTCCTAATACATTTTGTCTCATATTTTCTATCTTACATATGATTTATATGATGACACTCAGAGTCAACCCGCTGCTTTCAACAATATTGTCACCTATGACATTGTTTCTATTTCATTCTAAAAAATTAAAGCATTGTCCTGACATCAGTTGGGAAATATTAATGAACTAAAAAACAGTATTGATATGTATAACCTTGAGTTCTTAAAAATTAAATATACTTCATATAGTCTATTTGTATATCGGCCATACAGCCTGTTGTAGTTTTGTATTTCAGTCATATAAAGATGGTGTGTAGTCACCATATCTCCTGCTTTTAAGAAGAACCCTAGTTACTCCAGAGGATCCACTGGATGAAGGGATAGTTTTTATAATACCCTAAGTATGCTACAATAGCTATTTTTGTTGAATAATTTATCAAGCAACCAATGGAGCTGGGATACAAAACAATTCTTATGATGGCGTAAATGTGTGTAAGGTAAATTA